GGCCGCTCCGGCAGCGGAGCAGAACCTAGCCGAGGCAACTGCAGCCCCATCCCTGGCCTGGGAGACTTTAGTCGGGAGGAGGTTCGCGCTGCCTTGAAACTCGGGCTGCAGCTCCAGCCGTGCTGACAACCCACACGCCGGCGCCTCCGATCCAAGCCCCGGCAATTCGCGCAACGTTCGTGCGGCGCGGGAGCTCTCCCACGCACGGCAGGGCGCTCTGCCTGCTTTGGCTGTCGCCACGGCCACCTCAACCGCCGCAGGTAAGAAAACCTTTTATGCTACGGTGCCGAAACCCGTTCATGATAAGGTAGTGACGGGCCAGTCGTTGACTCTGATTGGGTTCCTTATTGCCAAGTGACTAGTCAGTCCCAAGGGGACACCAGCCGCAGCGTTTTACAACTTGACCACTATGGCTCCTACGGCCCAGTGGTTCTGGCACCTGTAAGCGGGCACTCCAGTCCAGGAGAGTCGAGGACATTGGCGCCTGGCTCGACGCTTGGAGCACGTATTGTGCGACTTACGCAGCAGCACACCCCTCCAGGCCCCCCCCCCCCCCGGAGCTGTTTTCGTACCAGCCCATAATCTTGAAGATGGCTCGGAAATTTAGGCTCCAGGCTGTGTACGAGTACGATCGATCACTTCGCCCCCGTTTCGTAATATCCGATGCTCTGGCATTGGCATTGTGCCCAAGACGTCTGGTGGTGCGCGCCTTATCATGCACCTACCTGCTCCTAGCGGCTCTGGCATTAATGACGGCCTTTCCTTTGACGAGCTCTCCCTACATTATGTCACTGTAGACGGCGCAATACACTGCATTTCCCAACACAGTCCCGGAGCTCTCCTCTCTAAAGCTGACACGAAGTATGCCTGGCGGCTTTGGCCTGTTTCCCCTCATGTCTGGCCCCGGCTTGCCATTTTTGGGGAGGTTCGTACCATGTAGATAAGGCACCACCATTTGGCCTTAGATCCTCCCCCTTCTGTTCAAAAGACCGGCTGATGTGGACTCTCAGCCCAACGGCAACTCTGCAATGATCCTGCTAAGTCTCTTACTCGTCCTGTGTTGCCACACCTGCCGACATGTCAGTAGCCTGCCGATTTTTGAGGCATGTCACGACCTGCCGACAATTGACCTTCTCCTGCCGACAACAGCCATGAAAGTGTTCAAGTTTGACCTTATGCATGGTTTAGGAGTGATGATCCAGATTTTTGACTTTTACTGCGCATCACGAGTGTTTCCATAGCTCTCTCCTGAGGCGCTAAGCAAAATCATCATCCGTCTTGGGGAAAACCGGCAAACTCAGCCTGAGAGTCACGCAAAACCGTGAAATTGTTTTCTTATCAGTGCCGCATGTGTGTGTATCGAGGTCTCTATTTGGGGGGGGGGGGGGGGGGTCCGGGGGCAAAGCCCCCGGATGATGCATTTTATTTTTTCATGCTACTGATATTTGGCTAGAATGATGTGGCAACACTGCTCGTCTTCGAGTACAGCACTTCCGGACTCTCAGCCCATCTACCGACGCAGTGCTGACACACCCTGCACAGTCCACCCTCCAGCAGTTGACGACGCAACCATGGACCTCATCCGCCAGGGCCTGGCGGACAGCTCCAGCATGACATGCGCTTCGCTGCCGCGCTCCGAACACTTGTCGCCCTGCGCCAGGGCAAGCCACACTCGGGGACTGATCAGTGCCGGCAGCATTGTTCCAGATCCTGTACTTTGAGTGCATTGCCCACTATGCTAATGGCCAGCCGCATTGGGCAGCACTCACATCAATTGCAGTGTAATAGTAATGCAGATAAATCCTGTTTGGGTCAGGTTGTCAGCGCTGCCGGACTCGCATCCCAACTGCCAAAGTGGTGCCGACACAACCAGCGCAGTCCACCCTCCAGCAGTTGACGACGCAACCATGGACCTCATCCGCCAGGGCCTGGCGGACAGCTCCAGCATGGCATGCGCTTCGCTGCAGCACTCGGAACGCTTGTCGCCCTGCGCCAGGGCAAGCCACACTCAGGGACTGATCAGTGCCGGCAGCATTGTTCCAGATCCTGTACTTCGAGCACATCGCCCACTATGCTAATGGGCAGCCGCATTGGACGGCACTCACATAAATTGCAGTGTAATAGTAATGCAGATAAATCCTGTCTGGGTCCGGTTGTCAGCGCGTCTTGACTTGCAGCCCAACTGCCGAAGCGGTGCTGGCACAACCAGCGCAGTCCACCCTTCAGCAGTTGAGGACGCAACCATGGACCTCATCCGCCAGGGCCTGGCGGGCAGCTCCAGCACGACATACGCTTCGCTGCAGCGCTCCGAACGCTTGTCGCCCTGCACTAGGGCAAGCCATACCCAGTGACTGATCAGTGCCAGCAGCATTGTTCCAGATCCGGTACGTTGAGCGCATTGCCCACTATGCTAATGGGCAGCCGCATTGGACGGCACTCACATCAATTGTTGTGTAATAGTAATGCAGATAAATCCTGTTTGGGTCAGGTTGTTGGCGCTTCCGGACTCGCAGCCCAACTGCCGACGCAGTGCCGACACAACCAGCGCAGTCCACCCTTCAGCAGTTGACGACGCAACCATGGACTTAATCCGCCAGGGCCTGGCGTACAGCTCCAGCACGACATACGCTTCGCTGCAGCGCCCCGGACGCTTGTTCCCCCCGCGCCAGGGCAAGCCACACCCAGGGACTGATCAGTGCCAGCAGCGTTGTTCCAGATCCGGTACTTAGCGCATTGCCCACTATGCTAATGGGCAGCCGCATTGGACGGCGCTCGCATCAATTGCTGTAAATAGTAATGCCGATAAATCCTGTTTGGGTCATGTTGTATTTTTGGGAGAACAGTAAGGATCGTGAGTCAGGCCGGCATTGAGCCAAGTGCGCCTATATTCGCTCACAAGTGCATCCTTTAAGCCATCCCGTAAGGGAGAACAGTAGGGATCGTGGGTCAGGCCGGCATTGAGCCAAGTGCGCCTACATTCGCCCACAAGTGCATCCCTACTGCATGCTCGTGTATTGACACATCTGAATTCAACAGTAGGGATTGTGGGTCAGGCCGGCATTGAGCCAAGTGCACCTACATTCGCCCACAAGTGCATCCCTACTGCATGCTCGTGTATTGACACATCTGAATACAACAGTAGGGATCGTGGGTCAGGCCGGCATTGAGCCAAGTGCGCCTACATTCGCCCACAAGTGCATCCCTACTGCATGCTCGTGTATTGACACGTCTGAATTTTCGCCGGGCAATTGTTGCCCCAGTTAGTGTCGTCATTGGCCATACTAACGCACAGCGGTGCTTGCAATACTAGCTCTGGCATTGGACCAGAATATTGCATATTGTATGCGGCAATTGTTGCCTATCTCCTGGTAATACAACGCGTAATAGCTCCCAAACAGGTCGGCTTGTTGTGTGGTTGGTAAATATAAGTTTCCGTGCATGGCACGGTAAGTGGAGTTAGCAACACACCAACATCCTTGCCATAAGCAACACTTGCACATGCATAACATGCATGCACTCCGAATTCCCGCGTTTCCGCACGGGACTGTGCGGAGCATGCGCATTACTCCAATTCGCCATGCTGTTGTTTCTTGCTCTTCGCTTTGCTGTGCTGACGGTCAAATTGTTTGACTATCGCGGCCAGTTTCTGATCACCACCACGCACCCCATCATCTCTCGCTAGCATTCCATTCGAAACCATCCCGAAAGGGAGAACAGTAAGGATCGTGAGTCAGGCCGGCATTGAGCCAAGTGCGCCTATATTTGCTCACAAGTGCATTCTTTAAGCCATCCCGTAAGGGAGAACAGTAGGGATCGTGAGTCAGGCCGGCATTGAGCCAAGTGCGCCTACATTCGCCCACAAGTGCATCCCTACTGCATGCTCGTGTATTGACACATCTGAATTCAACAGTAGGGATCGTGGGTCAGGCCGGCATTGAGCCAAGTGCGCCTACATTCGCCCACAAGTGCATCCCTACTGCATGCTCGTGTATTGACACGCCTGAATTCTCGCCGGGCAATTGTTGCCCCAGTTAGTGTCGGCATTGGCCATACTAACGCACAGCGGTGCTTGCAATACTAGCTCTGGCATTGGACCAGAATATTGCATATTGTATGCGGCAATTGTTGCCTATCTTCTGGTAATACAACGCGTAATAGCTCCCAAACAGGTCGGCTTGTGTGGTTGGTAACGATATTACCCCTATAACGATATAAAATGGGCTGACCAATCGACATTTTCCAGTTTATAACAATATCTAGCAGGGAATATGTAGAGCCCACTATCCAGGCAGGGCAAGCTTCACTTGATAAGTCGCTGGGACATGACGAAATGCAACAGGGGCACCAGTGGGCACCTTGCTGTGTACATTAGGCCGAGTAAAAAAAATTACTAGATGATCGTCCTTTTTTTTGGAAAAATCGGGGAGGGCGGGAGGATTTTATTTTTATTTTTTTACTTTTTACCCTCTCATGCACACAGTGTACACAACAACATCAAGGTTTTTTTTCTCTTTTTTCTTTTTTTTTTCTTTTTTTCTTTTTCTTTCTTCAGCAGATCGATACTGACGTTGTGATATACTAGTAGTATGTGGTCCATATAGTAAAACTCACGATTTAAAAAATAAAATATTTCTTGGGGCGCTGACAAAAACTGGGGCGGACGGGGACGATCATCTAGCTTTTTTTTTTACTTGGCCTTATGTACATGTAAAAATGATGTATGTCAGTTTTTTTATGCTATGAAGAGTGTAAAAAATGAACAAAACCCATGCATCATGACGTATGTGTATGAAATGAACCAGTTACCCCTATAATAATATTACCCTTATAACAATATTTCTTGGTCTGACGCAAATATCGTTATAAGGGTAGGTCGACTGTAACGTTTTGCATATTGTTTGTGTGTTTATGTTGTTTGTTTGTTTGTTTGTACAATGTACTCCCATGGATGTGTGCGTATGTGCGTGCATGCATGCATGTATGTGTGTTTATGTGTGTAGGTTGAGTTCAGTGGTGAACCAGTTTCCGTGGCTGGAGAATGTGCACATAGCAGCCGACACAACATCAACACCAGGCACTATGAACTGCTATGATGCATTGGTGAACATGCCCTTTGCTGTCTACTTCACACTCATAGGCAGTATTGAACAGGTAAGTGCTCTACTCTACATACTACCGCACTGACTCTACTACGGTTGCGCTCGGTGAAATCCAACCCGAAGTGCAAAGCTGGCACCCTGGACCAGTTTCAATTACACATCATTGTATCTGTACATGTGTACGTCCAGCCGAATTCGTGCCACTTCCAAGGAGTCGAGGGCCGTGCAAGTTGAGGGTACCAGATATTCACTTTGGGTCGGATTTCACCAAGCGCAACCGTACTAGCATGTGCTATCATGTGCTTTTGTGGCTCGAATTGGTTGTACAGATGTTTACGGGAGTGGACACCCTCACCCCCCCCCCCCCCCCCCCACCACCTCCAAAAACAAAACAGTTGTAGAACGTCAGTACCGTTGGTCAGTGTCGCGCAGTGTTATCGCATGTGCTGATTGTAAAGTAACTGGTGCTGTGGTGTGTTGCGGTGTGCTACGGTGTGCTCAGTATTTTGATGTGCGGTCTGCTGTGCTGTATTGCGGTGTGCTGCGTTGTTCTGTGCTATACTGTGCTGTGCTGTGTTCTACAGAGCCCGAAGTGTGTGCAGTATCTTGCTGTGCTATACTGTGCTATACTGTGCTATACTGTGCTGTGCTATACTGTGCTGTGCTGTGTTCTACAGAGCCCCAAGTGTGTGCAGTATCTTGCTGTGCTATACTGTGCTATACTGTGCTATACTGCGCTGTGCTATACTGTGCTGTGCTGTGTTCTACAGAGCCCCAAGTGTGTGCAGTATCTTGCTGTGCTATACTGTGCTATACTGTGCTATACTGCGCTGTGCTGTGTTCTACAGAGCCCCAAGTGTGTGCAGTATCTTGCTGTGCTATGCTGTGCTATACTGTGCTATACTGTGCTGTGCTGTGCTGTGTTCTACAGAGCCCCAAGTGTGCTATACTGTGCTGTGCTGTGTTCTACAGAGCCCCAAGTGTGTGCAGTATCTTCACAAGCCAGAATACACGTACAAACCATTGAAGCACCTGCCACGATTCTTGTTTGAAGAAGCTCTGTGCTTCAATAAAAGGTCAGTTTGTGCTAAGTTGGGTCTGGGCTCCAGCGTTTGCGCATTGGGCGATACTGTCACTCGTGTGTGTGTGTGGGGGGGGGGGGGGGGGGGGGGTGCGTGCGTGCATGTTCGTGCGTGGGTGTGCGTGCGTGCATGTTCGTGCGTGGGTGTGCGTGGGGTGGGGCATGCCTGATTGTGTATGTGTGTATGTGTGCTCATGCGGATGCACACGTGTGTGTGTGCGTGTGTGTGTGTGTGTGTGTGTGTATATCCGCGAGTGTCTATATCAACACAATCGTATGCTATTAGTTGTATTAATGGGATGATGCGCGGCTGTCGTTTTCATGGTCATATATTATTTTATTTGGTTGAAGTTGTCGTAGCAAAGGTACCACAGACTTAGTATAAGAAAGCCTGAATTTGTATGTATGTGTGTGTGTGTGGGTGTGTGTGTGTGTGTGTGTGTGCGCTTGTGTGTGTGCGTGCAGGCATACGGAAGCATTTCGCGGTGTCACCTCTCTGCTTCAACTGTTGGAGGTGATGAAGCTTGTCAAACTCAATGATGAGAATAAGATGCTGAAGGCGGTAAGTAGTTGCCTGACTTGTACTACATCATTGCTACATCATTGCTACATCATTGCTACATCATTGCTACATCATTGCTACATCATTGCTACATCATTGCTACATCATTGCTACATCATTGCTACATCATTGCTACATCATTGCTACATCATTGCTACATCATTGCTACATCATTGCTACATCATTGCTACATCATTGCTACATCATTGCTACATCATTGCTGACTATCACAGTACAGTAAAACCTGTCAAGGCAGCGACCCATGACTCGGATAAGGCGACCACCTGTCCTAGAAGACCACTGAAACCAGGACCAAGAGATGCTATTTCCAGTCAACTGACCCTGGATAAGGAGACCACCTGGTAATAGGGCTTGAAAGTGCTACGTCACAGCATGGCAACAATTTCAAAAATTCAAAAACTGGATCCACTTGGATCCAGTTTTTGTATGGATCCAAGCACATTTCAAGCGGTCTTACTCACAGCAAGGTGATGTAGCCAGTGAAACTGACTGATTTGGTTACTGGGGGCGGGGTTACAACTGGTGGCGAAGTAAAAGTCACCCCTGCATACGACACGAGTGGGTTGCTATGCACCCACATACTGAGGCAATAGCAAAGTCACACCTTAGTGGATCCAAAATAGAAATCTGATGTCAACTTACTACTCCCTGGCCGTTTTTGACGTCATCACTTTCAAGCCCTATAGAGACCATGTTTTGCTGCAATACACCAGTACAGTACACGTGTCGGCTGCACTGCACTCACCATCTAGGGTTTTCCTATTGGCAGTACATGAACATGTATTGTCTAGGGTTATCAACGTATGCTGTTGGCAGTGCATGAACATGTGTTGTCTAGGGTTTTCAACGTATGCTGTTGGCAGTGCATGAACATGTGTTGTCTAGGGTTTTCCTGTTGGCAGTGCATGAACATGTGTTGTCTAGGGTTTTCCTGTTGGCAGTACATGAACAGGTATTGTCTAGGGTTATGCTGTTGGCAGTACAGGAACATGTATTGTCTGAGTGTGCTGTGCTGTTGCTGGTAGGGTAGTCGAGATTTTGCAGTTGGCAGAACTGTCTGTGTGTGGTGCTATGCTGGTGGGCGGTTTGGTGATGAAGACATAATTATGGCTGTGCCTTTGCCTTTGCAAATGTGTGCACGTGTCTAACCAACTGTCCTTGCTTGGCTTTGTGTGCCTGTGTGTGTGTGTGTGTGTGTGTGTGTGTGTGTCTGTGTGTGTGTCTGTGTGTCTGTCTGTGTGTCTGTATTGTGCACATCTATATCCTATGCTCATGTTGTTGTTGTGACAGCGAGAGTTCACCTTGTTAACAACGGCTACACTGGTGGATACTACCCTAGTTGCCAGCGGTGGCTACATGTTACTGGATCCAGAACTAACCAAGACACTTCCAGTATGTAACTACCAGCTTTGTGACATCTTCTCCACCATCCGCTTCTGGTACTCTGTGGAAGATATCTGTAGACGAACTCCTCTTGGTAAGGCTACTGTACTGCTGGCTACTGGTTTGGTGGGTTTGTCATAGAGGCACATGTGCAACCCCCCCCCCCCCCCCCACACACACACACACATACGCACTCTCTCGCTGTCTCTGTTTGTCTCTCTGTCTCTGTCCGTCTGTCTTTCTCTGTCTGTTTCTGTGGTAGCACACATATTACATGTGTATTGTTTGTGCTTTGTGTACAACCTATCCTGTACAACCCATCCTGCACACAAGATATGCCTGTCAACATGTACTTGTGTCATAGTGTTAGCGTATGAGAAACAAATGTGTGAGCAGAGAATGAAGTTCAGAAGGGAAAAAAAGCTACTCTTGTTATCTCCAAGTATGCTTCTGCTGTACATGCCGTAAAGTGCCGTTGATTGGCCCTCTCTAACCCCCTTCCCCTCCCCCCCCCCCCCCCTCCACATGTCGATTTTCTACCTGTGGCGCGACTTCAGTGTATACATCAGTAATGACTCAATACACGGTGTTGAACTGATGCATTCACCTCTGTACACAATGTGTGCCAGTGTGCCAGTGCAGGTATGCTTGTGGATGAAAATGTGCACAATCCAGCACCTCACGTCTGCTCTTTACTAGTCTTTAGCGTTGTTTTCCATCCTACAGAGTTTGACAACGGTAATTGACGGTACTCACCACTGACACTGTGGCACACACTCTTCTTCACACTGTTCTGTCTACAGGCAGTCTACACATGAAGGACAACGATGATGCTTTGAAAGAGAGGTTGAAAGCAGATGGTGTGGAGATAGTCCATCATTTCTATTCCCGTGAGAACCATTCATTCCCGCGTATATGCATCGGAGCGGCTGGTTATCCACCAGATTTCTTTGCACATCGATTCTGGCTATTGAATTGGGAGGTAAGAAATTGTATGCAAAGTCTGTGTGCATGTGTGCTTGTAGTTGTACATATATGTCTGTGTGCATGTGTGCATGTGTATATGTGTGCATGTGTACATGTGTGCATGTGTGCATGTGTACATGTGTACATGTTTACATGTGTGCATGTGTACATGCACATGTGTGCATGTGTGCATGTGTACATGTGTACATGTGTGCATGTGCGAAAAAAGCCACTTCATAGCTGTGTGGTGTAGACCAGGCTGAATAGTGGCGGTCAATTCTTCAGCCTTGCAAGCTGTTGAATAGTACAATCCCAGCACAAGTTGCTATGGCTTCTGCTGTAGCATCGAGGCGATGGGCGTCAATGGTATGGTATGGTGCATGTGCGTGTATATCTGTGTGCATGTGTGCATATGCATGTATATCTGTGTGCATGTACATGTATGTGTGTGTGCCCATGTATGTGTCCGTTCGTTCTATGACTATGTGTCCATGCATATCTATACATGTACAAATCCGTGTGTGTGTGTGTCTGGGTAAATTCTGTCCTGATCCCTCTTCCGAAGAAGGGCGACTTGTCACTTTGTGACAGCTGGCGAGGAATTGCTCTGCTGGATGTGGTCGGCAAAGTGGTCGCTCGCGTTGTCCAAACCCGGCTGCAGACAGTGGCTGAAAAAGTCCTTCCTGATTCCCAGTGTGGATTTCGTCGCGCTAGATCCTGCACTGATATGATCTTCTCTGTACGCCAGATCAGCGAGAAGGTCTTGGAACATCATGACAGAGCCTTCTTACTGTTCATCGACCTAAAGAAGGCATACGACAGCGTCCCCCGTGCCGCGCTTTGGGTTGTTCTCCTCCGTCTCGGTGTACCGGAGAAACTGGTCAGCATTATCAGAGCATTCCATAAGGACATGGAGACGTGTCTACGCATTGATGGTCGGCTGTTGGACCCACTAGAGGTAGAGGCGACGGTTTCAAATAGGACACGGGTTGCAAACCGGAACGGACTCAATATTCACTTTCTCTCTTGGTATTTTGATTAGAAAACATTAGGGGTGAAACGAGTATCTATTTTGACCAATCGATCACTCGTTCATAATATTCGATCGAGTATCCGATTATTTCGAGTATTTTATCAAAATTCAAAAGCACTAGATTTCCGAGTTCTCGACCAATTCGGAAGAAATTATCAGTGAACAATACATAGAACAAAATTCGCCAACATCTTGTACAGAGTGTAAAGTAACGATTTTCATCAGTACTTTCATATCTCAGAACGTTACTTGCCGTGGTGATCGCATCGTCCAAGTCTTAAAATACTGACTCAAACCATGCATAACGCATGCATACCAGTGGACCAGCGGTACAACAAAAGTTTTTGAAGATACAATGCCAATACTAAAAAAATAAAATAAAATAAAACGATCGAGTGCAAAATTTCGAATACTCGCTTGTTTGAAATTTTCGAACGAATACTCGAATATTCGAACTAATCGTTTCACCCCTAGAAAACATATGTCACAGTGAGACTACGATGTGTTATACTCCGAGCCAAAATTCCATGGCTCTGCGATGACCAGAAGCGCCATACCAAGCAGGTGAGTTTTTGACGTGTTGCTTCGCACTGCGACTTGAGTTTTACAACTTTCGAAAATCAACTTCTTGTCGCAGGTAAACAGCGGCTCGCCTCTCGCCAATAAAGCACCGCATACCAATCAAAACTAATGGAAGCACACACAAGGCTTATTGTTACTCTGTACTGGCCGTCGTGGAGCGATAGCAATTACCTAATTTCAGACCCAGAGTGAATTAGACGTGCACTCTAAAAGCAGTGACATTCGATGAAGTCGCCTCCGAGTTTGGACTGACAGTTAGTCTCTCCAAGACCAAGTTCATGGTGATCGGCAGAGACATTTCTGATGCGGACCTCGTCCCTGGTTGTGTTGGTTCGAACCAGATCGAGTGCGTAACGGAGTTTCGCTACCTTGGGTCGATCATCGATACGTCTGGCCGGTGTTCGATTGACATTTCCTCCAGAATTGCGGCTGCCTCCCGTGCGTTTGGCTCCCTGCGGAAGTCAGTTTTCAGCAACCACCATCTGTCCGTCCGCACCAAGAAGAAAATCTTCAATGCGTGCGTTGTCACCATCCTGCTGTACGGAGCTGAGTGCTGGGTACCCCTCCAAGCCGACATCCGGAGGCTCTCCACGTTCTACATGCAGTGTCTGCATAGTGTTCTTGGCATAACAAGGTTAGACGCCTGGCAAGAGCGGATCAGCAATGATCAGTTGCTGGAAATGTGGGGCGACAAGCGCCCACTTGCTGTCCGGATTCGCCAGCGACGACTGGAGTGGCTGGGTCATGTTGCTCGCATGCCACCAGAGCGCATCCCGAAGATTCTGTTGTTCGGTCTGCTCCCATCCCGCCGTCCACCTGGTGGTCCACGCAAACGCTGGAAAGACTGCATTAGTGCAGACCTGAAGGCCCTGAATGCTGTGGAGGGATGGTACGATCTGGCAGATTCTCGCCCCGACTGGCGCCACATGTACCGCTGTTTTGAGCCCGAACCGCCCACACCCAATGTCCATTGCCAAGTATGTGATCGGTACTTCTCTCGCCCATCAGATGAGAAGCGTCACAAATGCTTGGCAGAACGGCAGAAACCAGTGTGTAGTCAGGCTGGCGCTTGCCAGTGTCGTCTCTGCCAACGTTGGTTCCGCAGCCCCGGTGGATTGGCTACCCATCGGTGCGATCACGGACCTGCTCCCAACATCGAGCACCCCGGCAACCCGGTCACTCCGCAGTGCTGCACCTGTCACCGGAGTTTCAAGTCCAGCAGCGGCTTGGCCAGACACAAGTGCAACCGCACGAAACGAAGGACAGTGTCGGAAAGGGCCGACTTCCCGTTTGAGTGCCCTTGCCAAAGGAAGTTCCGACTACGTCACCATCTAGTACGCCATCAGAAGTGCTGCTCCTCAGCCTCTTCCATCCCTCTCCCCTGACGGGGACCGTGTATCCTATCAAGGCAACGTATATCAAGGTCAAGGTGTGTGTGTATGTGTGTGTGCACTGTGCATGTTCCCCTTGTGTTTGTACGTGCAGCGCAAAGATCGCCGCCTTCCTCAGCTACGTGGTGATTCAGCTAATGTCACACAGGACACCGAATCACAAAATGAGTTGTTTGACTCACTCACGGCTGATGACCTGGAAGGTTTGGACCCAGCCATTCTCAAGGAAATCCTCAAGGACGACACACCAGCCAGGACACCAAGAACTCGATCTCGAAGCAACCGCTTGTCGTCCTTGTCAACTGTTACTGGGAAGGCAGCTTCACCGAGTCAAGGTGGACGTGGTCTGAAGCGCTCACGACAGGGTAGGACAATGTTGCAC